CCCAATTTTATTGGCAAACTTTCACTAAACTTTTGGTAACGGAAAATCTATTTGGGAGTATGTCTGTGGGTGAAATTTTGCAGGCAGTTACAATATAATTTCACTATTAGAAACACCATTATAAACTTATGTAAAAGCACCAATAACAGTTGTTTTTAGAATAGGACCATATCCAGTCAAAAATATACTGCTGGAAACTATTTGAGATTTGATGAATTATCTACCACAAAAGTGTAATGCCAGTAGGCAGTAAACTTGGGGCATAGCTTAAGAAGATATCCATTTCCAGTAAACTTCTCAACATGAGCTGTTTTAAAGTAACATGTCTAAATCGAGGGGGCATCAACTTCGACTATTCACAGTGCGCCCGCTGGTTAATATCTAATAGGTATTCAGGTGATTTTTGCGAATATTCACAAGATATTCAAAATATTCATCGATATTCATCGATATTCATCAATATTTAAGGATATTAATCAACAATCACAGTGAATATTCTCTGGTATTCAGTGATATTCACTGGTATTCAGTGACATTGAATGTTTGAATATATTCACAGTTCACCAAATTTCCAAGTTGGTTCCCCCTCGGTCTAAATAACATGTCTGACCAACATGAAATTTAAACAGGGAAAGAAACAATTTATTTTGAATGTTCGCGGTGCTTCTGGCGTTCGAGGCACTGTTGCCAACCAGCATTATTTCACACATCATTTAGTAGTGAGTTGGTACCCTGACAGGTTTGTTTAGAGTACTGTCCTTAATTAAATATTTGATAAAATCCGAAGGGAATGTTTCATTCCAAGTTATTGACTCAAGAACTGAAAAAAGGTTACACTACTTTATTTTCCTGAAGAGTGGCTCGGCTGCAGCTCATTTTCGTTGCTGTTGTTTACAAGCACCGCGCCTCTCGGAGTGAAAACATAGTAGCCGGGTACACTAATCTTATTTTATTGTACATTTATGGTTATACGACTCTTTCTAGTTTAAAATAGTGTTCCTACAGTTAACTAAATGGTTCAAGAGCAAACCACCATGCTCGTTGAGCGCGAATTGCAGCACAAACGAGTACACACCATTTGGCCTGTTCACGGGACGAAAACATAACCTCAGTAAGTTTGCCTTTCCTACATTCCTCATTTCCTTACTATCAAGTACATTTTTTCTAACACTTTTTCTCCACGCATTACAGGAAGCCGTGTATTTTACCACCAAAATATGGATGTTTTGAACATATAAATTATTCCATGGCTTTTCTACACTAAGTGCCTCTGCATAGTGCTATTTCAGTTTTGTAAGTAACCTGCTGTATTTGAATTCAAACTGTATCTTTAGGTGTGAGTTTATCCCCTGAGAATGCTTTTTCTTAGCAATGCATCTGCTCTATTTTCAGTCCTATTTTGTTTTGCGGATCAACAACTACATTGCTTCAAATATTGAATATTCTGAAAACTATATGAGGCAAGGTAAGCTAGTATGTTATATCTTTATGTCCATACCTTTACCTTCAAATTATTAATACAGATGTTTTCTTTCTCCCTTCTATTAGCACATAATGGGAAGTGATTTTCAAGACGATGCAAGTAGATGAAGACAAACAGCAGTAGTACCGTAAGTACAGTTTAGAATTCTGCTCTTTCCTATAGTCTCGCATTAATCTTTTAAAGATTTTATTGAACTAACTGTTGGTTTTTTGTTTTGTTTCAGGGACATTTTACTACTTAAAAGATCTGAATCATCTCACCTTATTCAATTTTAATCTAAAGTGCAAGACAATAATCAGCCTGTAAGTTATGTCTAATAAAAAAAAGATCAAATAATAGATTTGCTTGTGTTAATTTGAGGGGCCTTTTTTCTGGTGAATGAGGTGGGGCTTGAGCAAAGGTTCCCACCACTTCCCTGACGCCTCGTTGTCACTTCGTGAACACCTCGCATATATACTTCCTTGACACTTCCTTGACACTTCCTTCACACTTAGATAACACTTCGTTGCCACTTCGTTGCCACTTCGTTGAAGCTTCCTTTTGACACTTCGTTGACACTTCGTAGTGCCAATTGCAGCTTCGATAACACTTCGTCTCAACACTTCCCTGACACTTCGTTGCCACTTTGTTGACACTTCATTTTTGTCAGGGAAAGGGGGCCCAGGGGGCGTGGGAGGGGGGCCCATGGTCAAATATGATAGCCGACAATGTACTCAACCGATACCGACCCCAAAACCACCCGAGTGGCGGTCCTCCCGCCTCTCAGAGCCGTCTTATCGAGAACGGACGAATTCTGCCCCTGGAAGGTATGCAACCGCCCCTAGGGGGCCCCCACAAGTGGTGCCACCTGGGCACCACTTCCTAAAAGTTACCTTAGGGTATGTAGATGAAGTGTGCAAAGTGGCAACACAGCAGGAAAAAATGCAAGGTGGGTTCTGTTATTGGTCGTTAGCCGCCGTACTATATTGGCAGTGACTCAAAGCCCCCATGAGACCAGAGTAGGGCTGGGCGGTTTTTCTATATAATGACCTCAATATCAATATTTTTGAATATTGAAATCAATATTTTTAAATATTGAAACCAATATTTTGACATATTGAAGTTTTCAATATTCTGAAATCAATATTCAATACCGTATTCAAATATTGACCCAAACGACCAATATTGAAATATTGAGTCTGACTCGCAGCCCTAAAATACTCAATTAACGCGTGCTGTTGTCCCCCTTTGATGTATATCGTCCGAAACTGCGTATTTTATAAACCTTGTGGTGCCAGAGGAGACGATTCCTGCAGCTGACAGGGCCAGAGAAAAAACATACCAATTCGGAATATTCTAAATCTTCAATATTTTCAATATTTTAACGTTTCAATATTTCAATATTTTC